TAAAAAAAAATGTAATTTCAGCTTTTTCTCTATGGCATAAAAAATTTCGACATCCAACTTGAATACACTGGCACGTGCGCGTGTCGATGTATATCTTCTTATTGTAGCGACATGAAATGCAAAGGAAGAAAGAAGATGTATAGTGGAAGAACATAATGAAAGAAACAAACACGTGCAATGACGAGTATCTTTACGCAACCAACTACCTACCTTATGAAAATTTCATGCTCTGTTTTTGCGCGTAAATAGACACAACTTGAAACAAAATCCAGGCAGTTTCGTCATCGATAAATACGTAGCAAAGGTAGTTGTGAACATACATAAAACATAATTCATACATTTCAGTATCATTTGGTATGTGAGTATACTTTATTTTTAGTTTATTTGAGAGGCGTTTCATGAGTTAATCAAGCAATTTTTAACAGCACCATACTCTTTAAAAAATGACTCATTCCCTCTCATATTATTGTACTGTAAATTTTATATAAATTCTGTTTTCTAGAAAATCAAGTTAGCAAAAGCTCAAACATTTTCAAATTATTATTAACCACTCTATGCACTAGAAAGCTTTGCCTTTTCTGTAGATATCAATAGAATAGTGTCAATGAGAATTTATGAAAAAAGAAATAAGTAGTCCTCTTCATACACTGATCTTACAATTTTTTTTCAATCCGTCTTATGTGGTAACGCCATTCACTGAAGTTCTACATGTCTTTCTGTGAAGACTATTCAATCGTTGAAAATCTGCTATGTAACATGTATTTCATAGTTACATTTCGTAGGTCATGTCGAGAGAACCAAATAGAAAGCATAATTGATATTTTTCTTCAGTATTTCTAGAACATCATATCTATAAAGCTATCAAATATGGCTGGTACTTCAATGGTGAATACTTCTTTTATTGGTCTACCTGTTGAACTGGTCCATCGCATATTTGATTATTGCGATATGCACACTATTGTTTGTTCGATTCGCCCAATCTGTCAACACATGTACGCCATTGTCAACACTTATGATCGATTTGAGCTCATTTTGAATTCAAAATCACTCGATAATATAGCGACACTTCTTCGTTTTATTCAACCCGAGAATGTTGTTTCATTAACGATCTCCAATGACTATCGGAGCGATAAGTTGATATGTCAAATTATGTCGCTATTCGATTGTCATCGATTTACTCAACTACGTTCTCTGAGTCTTCACCAAATACGAGACAAGGACTTGCAGCTCTTCTTACAAAATTTGAGTGCTGACTCTTTGTTGTCTCTTTCGATAGAGTCAAGTGAAGGTGAGACTAGCAGAGTATGGAGTCTAGTCTCATCAGTATTCAGCCGATCGAACCTTCAAAAACTATGTCTCAATAGAATACCTTATACAGCAGATGTAGTATGGCCAAATCTATCCAGATTAGAGCACCTAACAGTCTCTAGTTGCAACTACAACGACTATCTGGTCATTCTTCGCTGGTTGCCTCGTTTACGAACTCTCGTCATGCAGGACTATACAATAGGTGATAAGGGTAATACACTGGTTTCATCCGCTGCATCTATTTTACATCCTTCACTGAAGTCTTTGATCGTTATTACCTATTCACTTCATACACAAGATTTCGAATTGCTGCTTCCATCAATATCTTCACTTCGTCATCTCAAACTTATTTCTAAGAGACAACAATTTATCTCTATGTTCAATGCCTCTTATTGGGAGCAGCTCATTTGTAGTAAACTGCCCGAACTAGACAAACTTGAATTCTTCTTCTCTTATCAATATGACGAAAATGACCATTTCATCAGTCTCGAGTCACTCATCGTTCCATTTCGAACTCAATTCTGGATTCATATCAAACGTTGGTTCGTAACCTGTGCATATACTCCAGGATCACATGAAATATGGATTCATACGACACCTATTAACATCATCCAGAGCAAACCATTAGCCAGATGTGAAGTATCGTGGATGGACAATACATGTCGTCTGACTCAGCGGTCACTAGATACAACGGCTGAAAACACTTCAGATGAGGTATGCAAGAAAATCTATTCGAAATCAGAGCTGATCATGGTATCAGAGCTGGATAAGTAAGAATTTTCTCAAGTACAAGTACAAGTACAGCGAAACTTGTATTTGAGAACGAGAATTTCAAATATGACTACTTCGAAACATGTGTTCAGTGCCATTAGAGCATATATGTCGAATATAAATGGTTGCACCTTTGCATAAGATTGAGGGTGGAAGATATTAGCTATTTGTTTGATCTTCAAAGAAAAAAAATAGGTACCTGATACCACTTGAATACAACGTATTTTATCTAAAGGATAAAAGCGGATAAGGTCGATTTTCTGCCTTCAGTATATTTTATTCTCTTTTGTGTTGAAATCAATCTAGTGGTAACATCTAATAATATTACAAAAGTTTATTTCCCAATGTCTCGCAATCATTTTTTCGAGTAACATCTGGACTCCTCTACGAGCTCAACAAAAAGTCAGTCGTCCTTCGAGCGGATACGAGTCTGACTTGAAAAATTGATTGAGAGACTTTGCAATGTTATCAGAAGTCACCGTTGAGTTGATTTTAGGACAAAAAACTGGAACGTTCTGTGGCAAAAAACCAGCTTTATCTGTTCTCACCATTTAGAGTACTTGATATTTGAGTACGTGTACGAGTGCCAACCCATCGGGTATGAATATTTCGACTGTTTTGCCCAGCTTTGCATTGTATCGTGTACTATCAAAGCGTTTCTCTGACTTCGCTTTTGAGGTTCTTCAGAATCTTTTCAAAGACTGAAGAGGACTCGGTGTACTCTGTTTGATACAAATCTCACAGTTCTATTTTTGTTTTCCTAAAGATGCTCAGTTGTCGAGTAATAAAATTATTATATATTTCAAAATAGAATATGAGTGAGTATTTTGCGGAACTCACATATATTTTCGAAGAAAATAGTGAATATAAGTTTTAAGTCAAAGCTTTGTAGCTCCTCCCTTTTAGTGTCCATTCGGTATTGCGCTTGTATATACTAAACGCATCCCTTTCAATTCATTTAACGTGGAAATTGTAGATCCAACACGACGTTATGCGAAGTGCTATTGTTAAACGTAATTTATTCTCTGCCGAATTCGAAATTTATCTTTTCACCATCTGCCCAGTAAATCCAACTTTAGAAAACGGGAAAAGGAGCAACAATTTCCTTATATAGACACTTTTTCTATATCATACAATGCCATTGTTTTTTTTGTTCATGTATCAATCAATAGAAATTTTGTTTATTTTTCATTCTATTGTTTCTCGTATCCTAGCACCAACTGCACGTTCTCACACAGACACTCACCACACTCAATCTCCAATACAATCAAATCGGAGCTCTAGGAACGCAACATCTCACTGAAGCTTTACGAAATAATACGGTAATCCTCATTATCGCTTCACCTCTCTCATATATCCATCTGCACTTTTGCATACAGACACTCACCACACTAGAACTCCAGAACAATGAAATTGGAGACGAAGGAGCACAATGTCTCGCTGATGCTTTACGAAATAATACGGTGACTGTCATTCTCTCTTCATCTCTCTGAAATACTCATGTGTACTTTTTCACACAGACACTCATCACACTAGATCTCTCCTCAAATGAAATCGGCAATCTTGGAGCGCAACATCTCGTTGATGCGTTACAAAATAACACAGTAATCCACATTTTCTCTTCATCTACCACATACCCATCTGCACTTTTCACAAAGACACTCACTACACTCAATATCCAATACAATCAAATTAAAGCTCTCGCAGCGCAACATCTTACTGATGCTTTACGAAACAATACAGTGACCCTCATACTCTCTTCATCTCTCCCATATAGCCATCTGCACTTTTTCACACAGACACTCACCATTCTAGATCTCGGATACAATGAAATCGGAGCTCTCGGAGCAGAAAGTCTAGCCGATGTTTTACGAAATAACACAGTGACCCGCATTCTCTATTCATTTCTCTCATATACCCATCTGCATTTTTTCACACAGACACTCACGACACTAGATCTTTCCTCCAATGAAATCGGAGCTCTCGGTGTACAACATCTTGCTAATGCATTACAAAATAACACAGTGACTCTCATTCTCTCTTCATCTCTCTCTCTCTCATACAATCATCTGCACTTTTTCACACAGACACTTGCCACACTCAATCTCCAATACAACAAAATTGGAGCTCTCGAAGCGCAACATCTCGCTGACGCTTTACGAAATAACACGGTGATTCTCATTCTCTCTTCATCATTCTCATATACGCATTTGCACTTTTTCATACAGACACTCACCACACTGCATCTCGAATACAATCGAATCGGAGCTCTTGGAGCACAAAATCTGGCTGATGCTTTACGAAATAAAACGGTGACCTTCATTCTCTCTTTGTCTCTTTCATATACTCATCTGTACTTTTTCATATAGACACTCACTGCGCTAAATCTCTCCGACAATCAAATCGGCGATCTCGGAGCGCAACATCTCGCTGACGCATTACGAAATAACACAGTGACTCTCATTCTCTCTTCATATCTCTTATATATCCATCTACACTTTTTCACACAGACACTCACCATACTACGTATCTCCTCTAATCAAATCGAAGATTTCGGAGCACAGCATCTCGCTGATGCATTACGAAATAATACAGTGATTCTCATTCTCTCTTCGTATCTCTTATATACTGATCTGCATTTTTTCACATAGACACTCACCAAACTACATCTTGGATACAATCAAATCGGAGCTCTCGGAGCACAACATCTCGCTGATGCATTACAAAATAACACAGTGACCTCCAGTCTCTCTCCATATCTCTGATATTAACATCTGTACTTCTTCACAC